CTTCATCAATTCTCCCCTCGAGAAATTACAGTCACCGAATCTAACTTCTTTGAAGAAATCACCACTCTATCAGATCTTTGATCATACGGAACCCAACTGTTCCTTTATGTCGTCATATTACTAGTATTCAACAGTTTCATAACAAACTGTCACATATACGAAAATAGTACCGTATGGATAATCTTTCCACTAAGCAAGTTCCTAGGAAAGATTGGAAGAGTCACTCTCCTAGCCAGAACTTCCTAAGCCATATCTATCCATCGTACAGTCTTTTCGTATATATAACCATTTGCTAGCTTTGTCGCGGTTTTCCTTTGCAAGTGATCCGAAGTATTTTGGTTTCATACCTGATTTCTCAACATCTAGTAAGACAACCAGTGCTTAGATTCGTCAAGATTAGTCTTCATCAAATTTCACTCTCCACCTCAAATTGTCCACATAATTGGGTGTCCAGAGTGTCCCAATTTTACCTTCCCTTAAGGCAATTAAAATTCTACACTTAGCAGTTCAGTACATGTAATTGGGCAAACATGTGCGATTTCTTCTTCTTCATCTCCATCGACCACCATAATGACCATCAGATGGCTTCTGATTGGGCAATCTCCTCACCGCCATTTATGGTCTCAATCTCAATTATCGAACCATACCATTGCATTCAGAACGATCAAATTAGCTAGAAACAAGTCTAAAATAGTCCAAATTGCACTTTAAACAGCTAAGATTTGATCAAAACAATTCTGGCCTGATCAACGATTCAGATTCAATCTCAAATCTGCTTGCACGTAGACTCCACTACATAGAATCCTATCCCTCGGCTTGGCACGACTAATGACATGGCAGGTGGGTCCCACATTGTTGACATGGCTACTAATTGATCGCTGGCACGACATGCCACCTGTGCATATTGATGATGTGATGACATCATGATGATGTCATAATCATCCGGATCTCGCATGTGGTTCAAGTCATCTGGTATTTGGGTCCAGTCAGCCTATCCGGGCGAAGAAGACACATAGGACGCGTGGCTAGCCACCCCGCTAGCGCATGACGACGCGTGTGGCCATGTCCAACTTTTGATTTTGACGCGGTTTTTACCAGTGGCTTCATCTCTTCCTTCTCTACATAGTGGTATGGTCAAAATATAATTTTGACAACTTCTTTTTTAGCAGAATCAAACACCACTTTAAACCATGTGCTCTAATACCAATTGTTGGGGAACCCGGACAATAATGTACTGATATTTGCTCATAAAAGGCTAAATACATTGACACAATATTTAACGTGGTTCGACAAATCTTCTATATCCACGGGAGAGTCGATATTATTAGAAATAAAGAAATAATACAAAACAAATACATGGAGGAGGAGGATTATACCTACTCTATCTCAACTCCCAGTTCACTACTGCGATGGCAGCAGGGCTGCTACCCTTGATAGCTCTCTCTTTCTTTCTTCACTCTTCTCTTCACTCTTAACACTCTCTTTCTTTTTTGCTCTCTATAATTATGCCTCTTTTATAGGCATCAAAGATAGCTTCTCCAACACATTTCTTGTCGCATAGAGAGGATAAAAAAGCTACAAAATATGCCACTAATTATGACACTAATGGTGCTTCCAGTAGTAGGGTATTGTCACAAAATGGTCAACTCCCAGTTCACTACTGCGATGGCAGTAGGGCTGCTGCTCTTGATAGTTCTCTCTTTCTCTCTTCACTCTTCTCTTCACTCTTAACACTCTCTTTCTTTTTTGCTCTCTATAATTATGCCTCTTTTATAGGCATCAAAGATAGCTTCTCCAACACATTTCTTGTCACATAGAGAGGATAAAAAAGCTACAAAACATGCCACTAATTGTGACACTAATGGTGCTTTCACTAAGTTTAGTAGTAGGGTATTGCCACAAAATGACAATATCCTAACATTTAGTTTAGAAATTAAGTATTTGAGGCTACACCAAGTTACCTGAGTTGATCTATGTAAGAAAGCTTGGCATTGATAGAGTTAAGAGGAATATAGTCGATTAATTTTATTGGATGTCTACTTTGTTATTTTGATGTATCAAACCAAATATAATAGAAAAACCTAACAAGTCTTGATTAAATAATAAAAATAAAATTCTAATTAAACTACTAAATAATAGAATTTAGAATAATCTTATAATACTAAATTCCTAAATAAATAAATACTAATTCCCATTGAGTCCTTTCATTCTCTTCAATAATATTTATATAAAAAATCCATAGTATACAAGAATTTAAATTTAGTATACATTAAGGATGTAAATTATATTTTTTTCTAAATTTTATTATATTTTGAAATGTGATTATGATAAAATTATCAAATCATTAAGGATATTGTTTAGTATTGTGTTTCAACTTCCAAACAGGGGTTGAATAAATTTTGAAATTATTTTTATTTAAAATTAATTTTTAAATATTTTCAAACTATTTTGATGTGTTGATATAAAAAATATTATTTTAATATATTTTTAAGTAAAAAATATTTTAAAAAATAATTATTACCATACTTTTAAATATCTTTTTGTAAACTTATTCACCCGCTATTTTTTTGTTTTTCCTATTTGTTTTTGCTTTTCAAAAAAGCTTTTGAAAAAATTTGAAATTATTTTATTTTTTATTTTATTTTAAATTAATATTTTTTTAGTGTTTTTAAATTATTTTGGTGTGTTGATGTTAAGTCACCCGCTATTTTTTTGTTTTTCCTATTTTTTTTTTCTTTTCAAAAAAGCTTTTGAAAAAATTTGAAATTATTTTATTTTTTATTTTATTTTAAATTAATATTTTTTTAGTGTTTTTAAATTATTTTGGTGTGTTGATGTTAAGAATCATTTTTTTAAATAAAAAAAATATTATTTTAATATATTTTCAAGTAAAAAATACTTTAAAAAAAATCACATGCACATTTTCAAATAAAAAATACTTAAAAAAAATCACATGCACTCTTTCAAATAAATAATTGTGATTTAAAATATTATTTAAAATGAAAAGTTATTTATTTATACATTTTGAAAAAAAAAGAAAACATCGACGTCGATAACTGGTTATTCGTTTTTAAATAATATTGCAAGTACAAAAGCTGTGGTCCTTCCCGCTTCTCTCCAATCCCACGCAATTCTCTCACTCTCGCGCGCGCGAGGGTTTGAAAATGTCGAATTTGAATTCCAGTTACAGATATCCAACTCCTCAAATCCCATCAAACTCAGGTTTCCTTTTTCGATTCCCTGCTTACTCATCCTTCGATTTTCTGTTTAATTGCTTCCTCAAATCTTTGATCTTTTCGTGTTATATTGCTCTTTCTCCGTTGTTTGATTTTTATTTTAGATTTCTTAACATCTAATTTTATAAAAAAAGAATCTGTAAATAAATCAGAGTGTTCACCCTTAATTTGTTTGGTTGCTGAGAAAGTGGAGGAAACTGAATATTTTGAATCTTCTCATTTTTCTACTTAACTTTTTTGTTTAGGTTTCTTGAGATCAAGTTTCATATATCCTGGTTTCATAAATTTTCACTGGCAAGTAAAGAGAGCCCTACCTCTTGCTTGGTTGCTGAGAAAATATAAGAAAAACTCAACACCGATCACTTTTGATTGCTCGAGTCATATTATTATTGTTGAGTTATTCATGTATTGAACTGTTCATTAATTTCATAAATCTTTCAGAATTACTTCCACACACTTGATTTTCATGGATATATTAGCTCTTAATTTGCACACGTTTATTCAATTGTAGATTAGCATTACCATTTTCTTAAGGTATATCTTAATGAGTTTTCAAATGGTATTGTTGTATCGTTTTTTTTTATTGAAGTAAATGCAGGTAGCAGTGCTGGAGTTTGTATGATGAACACCAAATGGAGAGACGAACAACACCCGTCTTTCATGAACTTCATCGCATCCTTCCTAAGTGCAAATTCTTTCCGCCTTAACTTTGTTCCAATTGCGCCAGTAATACTTGCCTTTCTTAACCTTTTTTCTAGATTTACATGCACAGGCACACATAATATAGATGTAAACTTATCGCTTTATTCATCATATGTAGGACTGCATTTTTAACTGTGGGGGTTTGTCTGTGGCTTTTATCTTTGTGACCAATTGGGATTGTCAAAACTGTGAGGCAATCTTCAGCAGGTACGCTAGAAACTTGTTTCTTATAGTTTCTTGCAGTGTTTTAACATTGTCATGATCTGTTGTCTGAATGCAGAGTTAAGAAGCTGAAGGGGCAGTTTGCAAATCTTTATGTTGTTGTCTCCCTCCCTATCAAGGAGCAAAATGACTCCTTTGTTCACTCTTACTTCAAGTGAGTGTGAAGTTAATATTTATGTTGATGCCATTGAATTCTGATTTTGATTATAAAAAACTTTATACTTGCTTGGATATTGTTAAGATATGGAATGGAGCTTGGCAAGCCAACATTTGTGCCAGTTCAAGACTTGGAGATGGGATTTGAAAAGATTGTTAAGATAGCTCATTCTCGTGGGAGTAAGTTCTCATTTTGCTAAAGATGAATTTCAAGCGTACTTGCAAGTACTGGTTCATTAAATTTTAATTTATAAGCTGCAGCATGCAAGCGGCAGGATGCCCTGTCAAAATTGAAAGCTGAGGTTAGTTTGTGTGAGTTATTTTCTTGATTGCAAGTACTAGCTAAAGATCCTACTGTTCAAGACGATTTGCTCACTTTATTTGGTGCTGCAACATTTTTTTACTTGCATCTGAAGAGGAAGCAATCCGTGCAAGGGATGGGCAATTTTCTTAGAGTGGTGACATCCATACCGGGCATTGATAACCATGACGCAAATGCTGTAAATTCATACTTTCCAGCCAATTACTTTAAAGATTCCTTTTAAATCTTTTTAATAGTATTATTGCATCTGTGTTTTCTTCCTTATCATGTCCTCACAGTTTCTGCCAGGCATAAGTTTAGTTCTAGCCTGATCCTCATAGTATTTTTTTATTTGAAGTGTTCCCAAGTACATTGTTTACAAAATTCTCATTTACATGAGAGTATTAATGTTGCTTCGAACAGCAAATTATTGTAGCATGGAAGAAATCAGAAGCCCATCTACGTGTCTTTAGGCAGTACCATTTCATATTTGTGTTTTTGATCTGTGAATTATCAATATGCCATTCACTTGGAATGATCATTAACATAATCAAAGATCCAGAAAAGTCTAATGTACTTCACATTTAAAAGCTCCCTGGTATATATTTAATGTCTCTTCCTCTTTGCTGTTCTTAGACTTTCCTGGTGCTCATATATCTATTATATTTGTAAGGAACAAATAGGAGAAACCATGATGATAAGGACCAGTCTGCTGAAGTTCTTAAGGATATGATTGTTTCTTGTCAATCTTAGAGAGCATAAAACTAAAATCCTAGACAATGCTTTAGCTAAATCCCATGTAGTCGGGGACTGCCGTGAAGTAATTTTCTAGTGTTGTGGTCGAAGTTTGTATAGCCTTTTCTTTTCTTCTTCGATGTGACAAGTCTCTAAGCAATCCTTTGAGCTGCTTTACAGTTTTGTAGGATTAAGCTTGCTCCCATCTTAGTTGGTTTTGGCATTTTCATTCATAAATGCTCCCTGAGAAGGTTATTTTTTTCCTTGCAAATTGTCCTTGTAAAAGATACACATTGAGAAACTGTTGACTGCTAAGTTGAGTTTTGGTGTCATGGTTGAAGTTCTGGGAGGCAAACCCTTTTCAGTTAACACCTCTTTCTTCTATTTTCAGCTCAATCAGGCTATTGGTTCGATTGAAGCGATTGCCAAGGCATCCAAGGGATATATTCTAGAGAACACAGATCTTTCATCTGACAACGCCGAGACGGTTACTAAGTTCTTCAGAGATCCAAAATTTTACCTTTGTCCAAAAATCAATTGATAGAAGAATCAGTTTTTAACTCGAACAAGCTCTAGAGTTAGTAATTTTCACCTTTAGCATCCGATTTCCTTGGATCAGTAAACTTTGACCAAAAAGATAAAATACTATTGCATATACGATAAGGCTATAAAAATCAAGTAGTTCAATTGAGATCATTGATAGATAGAAAAGTGAAAGCTTGCTGATGTTCGACCATGGTTTATTAAGAGTCTGCAGCATTTTATTGCTTTGAGTGAATATGAATGATCTTGCTGTTGCTGAATGAATCAATGCATGGAGATTCCTCTACTGCTAGTTTTGTTACCATGGTTTCTTTTATTGTTCTTTCTCATGTTCTTATAATACCCACCTGGGTATAGCTTTTCAAATTGTGAAAGTTTTTGGAGGCACACCGTCAATTGCACTGAAAGTCAAGGAAAGAGAAAACATTCAGCATTAAAATTTTAGTTCCAGAGTAGGGGATCGAATGATGTATGTACTATTTATTTAGTTCCAGAGTAGGGGATCGAATGATGCATGTACTATGTGTATGTGTTATAAAAATATTTTTAAAAAAAATTAAATATTTTTATTTTTTTAAATTAATATTTTTAAATATTTTTAAATCATTTTAATATGTATATATTAAAAATAATTTTTTAAAAATAAAAAATACTATTTAAATATATTTTTAAATAAAAAATACTTTATAAAATAAATATAATTATATTTTTAAATACTTTCATGGAACTTTTGAACGTAAACGAGAATAATTTTATGTGAAAATAAATAAATATTTTAAATTTAGATAATTATAATATTTAAATGAGTTATTTAACAAAATCTAACTATATTTTAACTTGTATGATTATTTATAGTTTTTTAGCTATTTTTTTAATTATATACATTATACTTTCAAATAAAAACTAATTATATATTTTTTCTATTATTAAAGTTAAAATTTATATTTGATCACGATGTTTCAAGTATTTTTTGAATTTATTTAAAAAAGTTTTAAAAAAAGAAACTGTAAAATTAGTTTAATTTATGCACTTGATTTGATTTTAATCTGTTAGCATCTAATATAAAATTTCAGTTTTTTAAATTAATATGTATATCATGAATAATTTTCATAATATTATTTAATGAAAGGTAAATAATCTTTTTAAGGAAATAAAGAGAGAATTGTTTTTTTTTAAACAAAAAAAGTGGCGCCAGGCCCGTTTGTGACTGGGCCGAGCTCTGCAGGCCCTCATAAGTTAAAACAGAAGAAAGAACTTGCGAACGACGCCGCCCGAGGAGGCACCTACTCTCGTGTTTATAAATCTCTCTTTTCTCCGTCGACGCTCCTACTCTGAGAAGGACCAGTCTGTTTACTTCAGCTTTCCTCCGGTCAGATCAGCTCAGCTCAGCTCCAGTGATAAAAGTAGAAGTAAAAAGTAGTAGAGAAGAGAAGTGAAGAGAAGGATGTTTTTCCACATAGTGTTGGAGAGGAACATGCAATTGCACCCTCGCTTCTTTGGGCGCAACCTCCGCGAGAATATTGTCTCCAAGCTCATGAAAGATGTCGAGGGAACTTGCAGGCATGTTTCTTTTCAACATTATGCTTTCTTTTCTTGATTTTCTTTTAATTTCTCCACTGCAATTGGAGTTGAACCAAAGTTAGGGTTTTTTCTTTAATATTATTAGGATCTTTTTTGATGATAAAGACTTCGTAAGACTTGATACTGAGAGTGGGTTTTTGAAAAGAAAGAAAAGGAGGGGAATTTAAGTTCATGATGTATCTAATTGCCTGTATATTTGGTGATCCAAGAAACAAAAGGACACCCAAAAAAAAGGTCAGTGAAAAAAAATTGCATCTTTAATACCATTATTAAAAAATTCTCTGCACTCTTGCAGTGGTCGACATGGATTTGTGGTGGCAATAACAGGCATTGAAAACATTGGGAAAGGGTTGATCCGAGATGGGACAGGATTCGTGACGTTTCCAGTCAAGTACCAATGTGTCGTGTTCAGGCCATTTAAGGGAGAAATTCTAGAAGCTGTAGTTACCATGGTAAATAAGGTATGTGTTCCTCTCTTACCAGCAAGTTTTTCTGGGATCATATTTTCAACCTCTTGTGGATTACAGTGCTGTAGAAAATATCTAAATATACTCCGATTTTTACAGATGGGATTTTTTGCTGAAGCTGGGCCAGTTCAAATCTTTGTTTCAAATCATGTAAGTTTGACATTTTTATTTGATTTTGATACCTCTTTAAAGTTTGCAAGGGTTTTAACCATTGCTTTCTGTTATTGCTTTCTTTGCTTAATATATTCTAAATGTTCCCCATCTGTTATTTTCACTGTACCAATTGTCTATCCACATCAATAATTGGATGTAGAATGCATGCACTTTTGTTCTTTGAACGTAAGAAAATTGAAACTACCATCTTGTTATCCATGGTTACTGTCTGGCCGAGTTGACTATAGTTCATCGTTCTTTTGAGAGCCAAAATGAGAGAAACATGGGATTTTTCTTTTCCAAATCCTTATGTTCCATTTGCTTAGTAATCAAAGATCATGTTTGGTTGAAGAATTGGGATGGAAGACAGTATTTAGTTATGGAATGTTGTCTTTGGTATTCTTCTTTCTGATCTGTCCCTCACCATAGACAAAATTCTAGAATTCTTTTCTTTTGCTCTTCATTTGATAAGCAGAACAGATGTTTTCATGAAAAATTGAAGTGCTGCTAAAAGTTGACATTTTGAAACAAGACTGCTTTTTGGTTGCCACTTATTTTTTTATCTTGCTTTGTTGATACATATTCTAATTGCATGATAGCAAACTTCTATTATGCTGTAAGCTTTTCCATCTTGCTTATTTATGTTTGGTTTTCTTTCAAGCCTTCGTATTTTCTTGCATCCCTGTATATCTAATGCATATACATTTGTGAACTGTGGTTGTAGTCTCCATCTCCCTACTCATGAACTTGCCTTCTCATTTTGTGTTTCAGTTGATACCGGATGATATGGAGTTCCAGACTGGAGATATGCCAAACTATACAACTTCAGATGGATCGGTATGCTATAATTTCAGCTAATTCTTTAAAGAAGTTTAGCTTTTATTATCTACATAACAAAGCTCAAATCAATATCTTGAACTTCTTCCAGGTTAAGATTCAAAAGGATAGTGAAGTGCGATTGAAGATCATCGGAACGCGTGTTGATGCCACAGAAATTGTATGTGCTTTAAACCTCTTCTGTTTGCTCTTTGCTAAATTACAATGGTTATTTCTTCTTTTCAGCCATAGCTTCAATACCATTTCTGTTTGTATATTAGCCATTACAGGATACATATTCTTTAGTGACAAAATCATAAAAGAAATATGGAGTGTTGCTGTCACATGAAGTTCCAGATTTCTACCCTTTTTTTGTCTTGATATTAAAATCGAACCTACCTCCGAGCCGGTGGTTAATGACAACAATCATCACAAGATTTAGGTTTTGTTAGTGTGTCTGTGCTTCTCACCTGGGGTGGGGGGATTGTGGGCACCTTCTGAAGTGGTTCTTGTGATCAAGGCAAATATTAACCAAGGGCAGTGCTAGGGATTTGGTGAACTGCAAAAACTACTCTTGGTTAAGATTTAGAATGGAAATTGAAGTAGCTGAAGAAGTCTCCCTGTGTGTGTGTGTCTGGGTTTTTATCTTAATAGCCTCTCCTGCTACATTTCTACAACCATTAAATAGGTCCAAATTTTCAGGAAGACAAATTGGGCCCAAACCATTAAAGAAAAACTGCCAGTTCAAATTTTATGAATTTCTTTGAAAGATTTTTGAGTTTTATCTTTTATAAATGTGATAAGAATTTTATTTTCACGAACTTGCCAGCTCATTCCAACTCCGCTTTGTAGTTCTATATTCCTCTGTCAATGAAATCTGACTGATAGATATTCATGAGCGAGAATTGCAAGTAATAAGAACTTAAGAGTTATAAAGTCAGTCAGCTAAACTGTGAAACTAAATGATGTCTTCTTATTAATAACCATCTGTTGGTGTTCTAGCTATAGGTGATAATTCTGTAGTATCCTTGTAAACTTATACTTTAATTCTTTAGATAAACAATATGCTTATATAAGCTATAAGCTATAGGTAATGTAGTATATTTTTTAAGTGGAGGTGTACAAGTGTGTTTTGCTTGTGTTCTGTTTTTTTTCAACAGGGATTGTTCAATAGGGGTGTTGGGTATTATGGTGAAGTGTGAACTCTGAAAGGAATATTGGAAGCCTTGTATCCACAAGAAAAAAAAAAAAATTCTCTTTTGTACTAGGAGTGATTACTTCTGAGAATCAGTCAACGGTTAAATGGGAGAACTTGTGGCTGGGACTTGTAATGGTGCATGTTGTATATATCTGAAAAAGGGAATGACGGAACAGAAAGCATATCTGCTTTACTTTGTTTGAAGAATCAATTTTCCCTGAATCCTACCTTCACCAGATTTAGAAATTTACCATGTGCATTTTGATTTAAATGGTTTGAGTGCTCTTCTGTTGCAGTTGGCACCTGTTTGCCGGAATATTCTAGTTTTAGTGATGATGTTGCTCTGGACACATGTGATTTAGATGTTAATGAATTTTGTTTAGATAATTTTGGAAATATGATAATTGGGTTGTTTAATATTTTAAAGGAACATATTTAGGAGAGTTTTGACGTCCGAGAGCTTGAAAAATCTTGAACTTTCTAATTTGTTGTTTGCAGTGGTTAACGCTTGAAACTTTTCTGCTGTGATTGCCCATCTAATGCTGCCACTATCCTTTTCTTGCAGTTCTGCATTGGCACCATAAAGGATGATTTCTTGGGAGTTATAAATGATCCTGCAAATGCTTAGGATGTCAGCAAGAATCTTAGCACATAGGATTTGCTTGGGCAGCATCTGCACTTCATTCATTGCTCGGTGATAATAGTGTGGAGGTGATAATTATTCTCAGCTGTAACTTAAAATGGCATTGCACTTGATGTTTTGTTTCACTTTAAATGAATGTCATTTCCCATTAATGATAAAAAAAAAATGTATAATCTTGGAAGGCTGATTTTATTTTGGGTTGAATATTCAAAACCTAGTTAAAAAATGTATAATCTTGGAAGACTGATTTTAAATGAATGGCATTGCACTGGTAAGGTGAGAGTAAGCAAAATCCTCAACAATCACTGTAATAATGGACTAAATTGTCAGATGTTGTAAAAATTATTAGCTTCCAAAGGTTAAAATTCATAAAGGGATTTAGAAGAAAGAAGCGTTACCTATATCCATCTTCCAAGTTATTACCCTGGTTCCTCCATTCTTGTGCTTCTCTTGCTGCGTTGGAGCAAGTAAAGTCGACGAATATTACAATTACAAAAACCACTCAAAGGCACCTAACTAAAATGATAATTTAATCTGAACTTGATGGAAATTTGATTTAAAACCTACTTGAACCTGGTTTGAAATATATTTAGATTTTTTTAAAGTAGATTATAATATATACGTATCTTAATATATCTAAAACAGGGGTTTTTCAAGTTATTTTATTAAGAATGGTAGTGCTGGCATAGTTGTTGAGATTCAAGGTGCATTGTTCATATCTTGTGGATCTTTGGATGAAGATGATGTGCATGATGATGGTCACAAGGTTGAGAATCAGTCCACTTTCATTATTAGCAGAGCAATTATTTAGTTACCATGGAAGTTAAGGGAGCATGATGGAAGTTTGTTAGATTCAAGGTTGCTATTTTTTCCCCTCTACTATGTCTATTTGTATAGGTGGAGCCTATATAATAAGTTAACTTAAAAAAATATGATGCATAATATTTTATTTATGAAAAAACTTAATAACTGTTAAATGTCAAAATATCACTTTATCCCCTGAATAATCACATATAATATTTCAAGATAATTTTAGAAATTTATTCAATTAAATCCCTACTTGGTTTTTCCATGTCTAGAATAGTAATTCTCTGTATTAATTATATCTTATTCTTCAATTTCTAAAACTTACTTAAAATCAAATTACACTTAATTAGTTATCTTAGTTTAATTTATGACCAATAATTTTTAATATGTATGACTTATTAGATTAATAACAAATTGCCCTAAATATAAACTATAACCTAAATAAAATGTGATTAAATAGATTAAATAATTTAATTTATTAATAATTCAATAATTGATTGATTTTATCTTCAAAGATCAAGTGCACTATCTAGTAACATATCATGATCCTCCAAATATTAAAAAAATCATCCTTTCATACAAAAATTTATGATATAGACATTATAAAATGAAGGATGTTTGCTCTGTCATATCATGTTATTTTTAATACTATAGTTATTGATTTTTTCAATCAGATTTGAAACTCTTTTCAAATTTTATTCCATCTTACATGAGAATTTTACAATCAATATTATTTAAGAACATGTGGAATATTTTCTCTAACTCACCTATGATGATGAAAATAATTTTTTATTACTCAAATACTTTTATATAGTTCATAATATACCTAATATTTACTTGTTTGCTACCTTTGATTAAGACAGTATGTAATCAGAATCAAAACATAATATTTCATATATAAGATGACATAGTGATCTCAAATCTAAGGATCACCTACACAATTATTACGTGGGTTTTTCTCTAAATATTGTTGATCTCTACATATGGAATCCTCATATAAGTCAATTTAGTATACATGTCATATGACAAACACCTATATATTAGTTTTAAATATCTCTCATACCTCGGTCTATTTGCTTATCAATAGCTAGACATTTGATTTATGCTTAACTTTGAAAGAAAATATTATTTATGTTTCTGGGAAAAAAGAGAGAATACAACTATCTAATTTGACATTGTATCTAAAACAGGGGTTTTTCAAGTTATTTTATTAAGAATGGTAGTGCTGGCATAGTTGTTGAGATTCAAGGTGCATTGTTCATATCTTGTGGATCTAATTAATATTCAATTTTAATAAAGCATTGACAAAAAACATTTAGCAACAAAGCTTTTATGTATTATGAATTTCATAACTATAACCATTTTATAATTTTTTATAAAATAATTTTATCTCGGTGATTTTATATTTACTTTGAATTCATTAATCAAGTATAAATAAATAGATAAAAAAACTTGTATTAATAATAAATATATTTTTACATGAACAAAATCAATATCACATATAACTAATCAATTAACCATATAGCATATATACTAACAACTTTAATGCAGGTTAAGATCAAATAAACTCTAAAAAAAGTGTCAAACCCAACTAAGATCAAATAAACTCTAAAAAAAGTGTCAAACCCAACATCTAATCTTGAGTTCAGGTAAGTAGCCCTTGTTGGCATGCACTAGACAATAAAAAAATGGTAGGAGTGTTGGGAATTTGTTTAAAACCATGATTAATAGGTACTTTAAAGTCAAATAGAAAGCAACTTGCTAACTTTTAAAACTAGAATTTTACTGGGATTTATTCTTGAACATAAGCATTTTTATATGAAATATTCACATGGCTAAAAAAAATGATATATAAATAAGAAGTTGATTTCAAAAAAATCTTGGTTCATGTGTTTTTATAAAACCCCAAACCTCTTTCTCACATAAAATTTTTTTTCTTGTTATTTATATAGTAGGATAATGAAGAGTTAAAATTTCTTCTTAAAACCACCAAAGAAAGCGTAAGCCACTTGTGTGTTCGCTCGACTCGTTAGTAGGATAATGAAGAGTTAAAATTTCTTTTTAAAAACACCAAAGAAAGCTTAAGCCACTTGTGTGTTCGCTCAAGCCTAGACTTAAATTTGAATTTATTATGAGATAATTTTTTGAATCACAAATGATTTTTTACCTATCTATTTTTTGGGCTTGGGTTTTTAATTATTTAACCTACAAAAAACAATTTTTACTTGCATGTTAGTTTATCCAACCTATGAATTAAAGAATGAATAATTTATTTAACCTGGACAATGTTTATTCATATAGAACATTAGATTTAAAGTCAAAATTGTCATGTTCAATTCTTGTGTTTATGGAGGGTAATTAAAACTAATAATAATAGAAATTAATTTTGTTAATTACCATTATTATTATTTTTTTCAAAATCCCCTATAAAAAGGAGTTGAGAAAAGAGTATTTATAGATTGTTTTTTTGAAAAATTCTTACAAAATTTAGACACTCTCTTCACCCCATTTTCAACCTAGTTTCCTTTGTTTAAAGTTCTATTTTTGTTCTTTGTTTTTTTCAACTATAGAGCTTAAGTTTAATTTTTGTAGAGAAATGTTTTAGTCAAGTTTCGTTGTATTTGTAAACTTTATCTAAAAGTATATCTAAACAAGGTGATATGTTTAAGAATATAAAAGTTTATTGTATGCATCATATTTACACCAAGTAAAAAACAATAAAACCTGAAGAACAAATAATTAATTATTGACATATAAGTTCTCAATTTGATTATATTTCAAGGGCTTCCTATACTAATTTTGTTTAAGTATAGATTCTATACATACTTAGTACACATGCTTGGATTATGTTCCAATCTTTTATACAGGATTCTATGCATACTAGGGTTTTTATTATACATCGTATACCTAAAAACTAAACATTATGCTAACTAGTCTAATAATATTTATCAGACAACTATGAAGTTGAAGTTAGAGGAACCACCAAACAACACTGTGAGAGCTCCCTTCCGATTTGCAATTATAGTAGCGAAACAGCTACCAAGAACAGGACTTGCCATAGCTCCCTCCCTATATGAGATGGTAGTAGTGAAACTGGTACTAATGGCCTTGATATGTTTTGCAATTATATTCTTCGAAATCCTACAGTCGTGTCGTTTTGTTTTTTGCATCAGAATTGTTGAGAAGAGCATAATACTTTTCCCCGGTTTCCACAAACCTTTGAAATGGTCTTTTCAGGCGTGCAGCTTTAGGCGTTCCATACGAGACCACAGAATTATATCTCCAACCAACTTGACTAAAGGAGAAAATATATACCTGACAATCCAGACTCAATCAACTTGTTGGAAATTAATCGTGCCGTTAAAATCGTGGCCGAATATACATATTTGCACCAGGTGTTTTGAGAATTATTCCAAACACCCACTAAATTAACTACTACCCGTCACCACGTCTGGCATGGCGTCAATGAACTCGCCAATAAAACCTGGTTGATCTTTCTCCACCACCCTAGCTACAACAGCTTCCGTGATAAGAACCAGATCAGGTGTTGAAACTGCCGTGGCAGATACCAACCCTCCTCCCTTCATCTCCATGGAATACAGAAGGCCTAATTCTCAACCAACGTGTAACCCTCATATGCCATGCATGTCACCAAAGCTATCCTGGTCATCTCATATTTCCTCTCACCAAAATGCAAGAGAAAACAATAAAGTAAAAGGTAAAAAGAGGAGTGACAGTTGTTACGACAAAGGTGTGCCGAATCACATTTTCCGGAGCAGCTAATTTCACAGCAAAAGTACCTAACATTAATGGTGTCACATCAACTTCCTGGCAGCATCTTAGCATGAAAATTGTTGGTAACCTTTTAAGGCACCTAATACCAGTGAAACTAGCACTGCAACACAAACATCTCTGTTCTCTTCTCACAAGGAAACAACAGAGTTGTGCGAGAAAAAATGGACGACCCCAAGAAAAAGATAATTCACATATAGGATAAAATCCACAAGTCGAAAAACCCAGGGCTGTAATTTCAATCTTATCTAAAATCCACAAAGAATATAGGATTTAAGTAGAAATGAAAAAAAAATCAAGTACACCATGTTTTTACACCTAAAATAATTATGTTTAAGGAGATTTGGTTATTATAAATGCAGCTAGAAGACATCCACCCAAAAAAACACACAACTATGATATCCTAGGTTCCGATAAAGGCACGAGAAGAATCGAGGATGAGCTGGCAACATCCAATAGAAGCTAAATAGTCTAAGGTACACAAACTACGACATGAACTGACGGATAGAAGGATATATCCTATGGAAAAAAGTAAACAGAAACCATGATGCCAGCCACTTTAACCAATTTGTAAAACTTCTCTTCGAAGGACAAGTTCCATGAAATCTAGTGCACATTATTCTGGCAATGACAGTAAATTAACAAGTCAATCTCCAACAGCAAAAGGGAATGATTAACCACTAAGTAGCTCTGATGAAGAACAATCAAATGCAACATCTCATGTTCAATACAGCAAAACTAAGTTGCGTTCTCTTCAAGCAAGCAACACAAATGCATAAGCATGCATGCAAATGCCTACACACATAACCAATGAGCAAATCCATCAGTTCAGCATCATTAAGAAAGCACCTTCAGAAATGACTTGAATAAAAATTTCATCAAAACCACTCAGCTTGTTAAATTTTTGCATCATCATTAGAAATCCATAAACAAAAAACCTGGCCCATACCAGCAGTCACTGGCCAAACACCCAAAGGCTAGTTGAACATATAAAAGAAACTTCAGTGGGAAATGATCAATAGCAAATACCATCAGTGTGGTTTCCACGAGCGGGCCCATGCCAAGGGAGGTCACTGATTACTTGATTATAGAGTTTAAATTGTCAAGCAGCTCATTGGACCACAATCCTAAGTCGTGGTTGAATGAAGAATTGCTTTAAAAAGAAAAGCATAAACAAAAACAAACTTTTCTTTACCAACATCAATTGCCTGAGGACATCTTGGAAGCCAATAAAGGAAAAGAAAAAGAAAAAGAAAAAAGCAACCTCCACAAAACCCAGCCAACTTAAGAATTGGACAACGTTTAATAAGAAGGATTCAGTGGTTTAATGCAACAAAGCTTGAACAAGAGAACTTACATCTATTGCCCAAGCACATCTTCATAACACAACCAGAGAAAAACCATACAAAGCAAGAAAACTATGAAACAAGACCTTAACTAAAGAACTGGCGGTGTAAAATAAAAATTTACAATTAAATACATGATGTAATGCATTCTATAAGGTTCCTTGTTGGCTAAAATCCCAAAAAATCTGAGTTTGAGAAAATCCACATTTCTGCCTTATTATTTTCACAAAGATTACATAAAACAGTTAATTTGTCTGGTCGATTAGTCATGTCTGATTCCCCATAAGATATGGTATCAGCATGGGATAATAAAGTATTTAAAAAGTGTGTGGTGCAATTCCAAGAGTATGCAACAGAAAATACAAGTACTGAACTTTTCAGAGAACTAGTGTAACAAAGAATCCCAAAATCCATATCAACCACCATGAAGTGAACCTTGCAAATAAAGTATCCAAAGCAAGCATAATTCACATTCGCAAAAGGAAGGTATATTATCAATACTCATGTCTTATTGATATAATTAATTCCAAGTTGTGCATAGCTTCTGACAAGAGTACAAAGACTAGTCTATTCAGTCATCTTAACAAACAACACTCGTTTATCTAAAAAAGAACAAACACTAAAAAATGAACCACAATTAAAAGTGCAGATGAAGTGAAGAAGCGGATGTAAAAGCACAGCTAATACATTCATCAACCAGAGACCCTATAGTCTGCAATCAGGCAATCACGAGTACCACAAAAAGCATCTGCGCCCAACAAGCTGTCATACACCTGAATCAAACATCCATGCACAACTCAATTGATCATTCAACATTCATCACACAAAACAAAGCTAATGATAACTTGAAGCAAATAAACAAAACAAAACAAACTAGCAAAACAATAAAGAATCCTCGCAAGGAAAATTACAAGAAACCCTGATAAATAGTCATGCTGAGCAGCTGAAAAAAGCCATCAGATGAATGCTACCAAAAAATACCATGGCTTTAATAGCATGTACAAACACACAAAGCATCATCATAATGTCAAAGTACAGATAATAAAATAGGCAGGCCATGAAGAGTTTCAATATATGAAGAGACTTTTCAGATGGGAAAAAATATGAAGAAAAGAAAAGATGAAATCTTCATAACACAAAAACCAACAATCCAACTACAAAAGCACAGCTGTACAAGGCTACAGTTAACAACTGCAAATATATTTGAAGATTCATACCAGGTTCAATCCAAGTTTTCACATAATGAGGCGGTATCTGACCTAGTTCTTAATACAAGGAATGGTAGCTCAAAACAACAGAACAGTACTTTAGACAGAAAAAAAAGATGCTGCAGACTGAGAGGGACACCAGACAACCAACAAACCATCTCACAAATAAAGCTAATGACAAGTATTTCTTTCACAAAAAGAAAGTCATGGTCAATGCAAGACTGCCATCCTACAAGCCACAAGAAATTGCCCTCACTTCTTTTCATGGCTAATGCCATGGTCCACAAATATCATGAGGGTATAAGATGAAGAGAAAATAAGCGGATATATAACCACCTTATGCAGTTCACATGTGTTTATAAGAGGTAGAAGGAATTTAATAAAGTACAAAATACTGTAAGCTATAAATTTAGGCTCCATTTGTTTCACGTAAAACATTTTCCTCATTTTTCCATGTTTGGCTACCTAGGAAAGCTTGGTCAACAAAAAATATTTTATGATCAAAGGAAAAATAAGCTTAAAACAATGGAAAACAAATTGCAGTTCTCAAGATGAAAACATTTTACAAGAAAATCTTTGTTATTGAATCATGGACGGCACCCAATGTTTACCTAATTCTATAACCCCCTGAATCGAAAATATCTAGTTCAGAAGTTTGTCACATGCAACCATGTAATTGTGACATATATAAATGAACTACCGGCACGAAAGCAAACCACAACTTGAAAAAGCAACCATACTAAATGTGTGTTTGGTAATGTGGTGATGCCTTTTCAAATAAAAATACATCGAAATAATTTTTTTAATAAAAAAAATCATTTTTGACATAAAAGCACCTAAAAAGCATCAATTTAATGCTTTTTTAGGCAAAAAACAATTTGAAAAGTAGAAATTACCACAATACAAAACAAACACTAAGCCTACCCCTTTTGTACCACGTTCCGAAGGGGGTAGCGAACTGCATACCATAATGTACCGTGTTCTAGGTAACTCAAGCATCACCCAATTTACTTGGAATGCGGTGCGTTATGATATGCTATACGTGTGTTCGCTACAATCCCCCCCTGAAACTCAATTAGTGGGAGATAGGCTTAGTATTGCTAATTCAAATAGTGGTTTGTTTTTATAAGAGAATTCCATGTATAATCAAAAGATAAAAGTATTGTATTATTGCATGTAGACTAAAACTTCAAAATAAGGTAATTTTCACCCTTGGTCCTATAAAATAGCATGCAAATTATCCGTCTAAAAAACCTCTTGATTTTCTACAGGCACACACCTCTACACAATTATCACCTTTCCTTCTTTGCTTTTTATAAGGGTAAAAAAATTGAATGGTCCTAGTAACTTTTCAGATTCTAATTAATAACAAATATCTTCAAATCCAAATATTTCATTTATTATATAGGTTTTAAACATTTACTCTTATATTTAAACATGAGTACTTGCAAATCTATAGCAAAGGATAGAGTAAAAATGGGGTCGCCAGATTTCACATTCTGAATAGCGAACACACCAAGATTGGGATTGCGCAATCTGGAATGATTGAAAATTCAAGGAGGATGAGTGAATTACATAACTCTATCACCATCACTAATCAACTCTTGTCTTTTCATTTTAAACACTTATTTCTCACACATACCAAACTATAACAATTATTTTCTAGTCTTCACTAACGTAACCAAACAATGAAAAACAACGTATTTTTGAAAGCATGTTAGTTTTTACATGAAACAAATAGGACCTTACTATTCTTCCTAGTTTCAACAAAGCCAGAGGAACTTTCATGGCTCATAACTATTTCATACCAATGTCTAAGAACAACTCAGTAACTTTGAGATGGTGAAGGAGTTAATATGGGCAGACAAAAGGAATTTTTTGGTGGGCATCCATGGTAAAAATTTGAACAACAAATTCTTCCATTCTCAGCATTTCTCCCCCTGCTACTTAAGTCAAGGACAGAAATTTTAATCCTTTTCATTTCATCTCCCCTATTCCCTTAAAAAACCAAAGAAGATGGCACAAATCTTCTTTCCCATTTCATACTTTCATCTAACTAGCTAAGATTATCAGCCCAAAGCTTAAACAGACTGAAATTAGCCAGTCAAAAACAAATAACAGCTATGTCTATAAGGCCAACAAGACCTCCATCATTTCTGGTATGACGATCTGATTCTTGTAGATCTGAACATGTTCAACCTATTGTCAAACATTTCAGCAGAGTGGAGACTCACAAAAAATAGAGAAGACAGGATGCAGACAAATGGACAGCAGAGAAAAAACTAGAGACACATGAAATAGATGGACAACAAATCACATGAATGCTATCAAGGAACACACGAGATCACTGATTCACCCCATAGCATGACCTTGTAATAGAGGTCAAGAAAATCAACATAAACGACATAAAAGCAAATACCATGGACAAATCATACAGTGAACAAACATACACAATTTTTTCACAAAGCAAAGCAAACAAACCAAGCAAATATAAGGAAAAGAAACCATCCCAACAAAAAGCACACATAGAAACCAAGCCATTCAACAGCACCAAATAATGCAAGAAATCACAAAGCAATTAATTTAAACCCAATTTACTACCTCAATAGTAAGGTGGCAAATTTGGATACATTCCCCCAGATGGAACCCTTGGTGCAGGGGATGCTCCCTGATGCTGACTTGGAAATGAAGTATTTGATGATGACAAGCTATACTGCCCAGGATCTGGATATCCACCAGTAGGCATTCCAACTGAGCTTGGTGGCAACCTAAACGATGAAGACGCACCAACAGAAGCACCGACACCGGCACCACCACCACCCAATCCACCATATCCTGTAGAACCTGGTCCACCATACCCACCATAAGGTGGGCCATAACTACCACCCCCAGTACCACTCAAACCACCTACCCCCTGAGACCCCAACCCAGGCCCACCCAGTGAAGCATTCAAAGGAGCAGCAGGATGATGGTGCTGCTGCTGATGACCACCCAATGGAGGCACGCCACTCGAAAACGCACCACCATAAGAACCATATCCACCTGGCGCGCCATACCCTGTCTGCAGCACCATCCCCATTCCACCATCTCCATGAACATTCCCACCCTGCACCTGTCCTTGCAATCCATCTTGCCCTGGTCCTTGCCCGCCGCCAGGCTGCCTCCCTCTTTTCCCATCAATTGCTAACTTACAATTCAACTGCCTCCCTTCAATCATCTTCACCGGCTCTAATAAAGCAGCCTGCGCTCCTTCTGCCGTCTTATAAACAAAAAGCGCAAAGCCTTTCGATTTCCCCGTCTGCTTATCAAAACCTAACGGACCCTCCTCAATCTCCCCATACTGCGCAAAATGATTCAACAACTTATCCGACGGCATTTCATACGGCACATTCGCTACATAGATCTTCCGCATTGCAACATCAACAACACCAGGATTGGCGGAAGAATTATTGTTATTATTGGCACCTGAATTTCCCGCTATCGCTAGTTGCGTGACAGTCACGCGCCCATCAATTTTCTTACTGGGCTCTTTCAAAGCCAATAACGCACCATCGACATGCTTATAGATAACAAAACCGTACCCTTTCGACTTTCCGGTGTTTTTATCAAGGATTACAACCGCTTCTTCTAATTCGCCGTAAGTAGAGAACAGATTTCTGAGATTTTCCGTTGTGGTTTCCCAGCCAAGGCCGCGGATAAAGAGCTTCCGTTGCGTGGCGTCGGGGTCTGCTATGGATCGGACGGCATCAAGGATGTCTGGGTGGCGTACGACGGCGCTTTGAAGAATATCAAGGAGCTGGTCAGGCGTGAAGCGTTCCATCATCTTGCGGGCGTCTTGAGGGGTTAGTTTGTAAGGAGAGTCTAGGTCGGTGGTGGATGATACGATGCCGTTTTCTTCGAGCTTGCGTTTCTTTGTTGGATCCATCTGCATCGAGAGGGGTCGGGGTATTTTTTGAGAGAGAAAGAGGGTGCGCGATAAACCCTAATATCCTTAGGAAGAAAGAGGGAGAAGAGGATAGGTTAGCAAATTAGTAAGAATTGAAAGGGGTGTTGTAGAGGAGCCGGTTCGTTCTATATACTGTATAAAAGAGAGAGACACCTATACAGGTTATAATAGGAGAATAATGATTTTATTAAAAATAAATAAATCTTTTCAATTATTGTTTTTCAGGGGAAGATAGGTTTTTTTTATCATTTTATAATTATTTAGTTTTTATCTTATTATTTTTTTATTTGCATAATCAAATGGTTTTGCTACCCTCAAAATAAAAAATCATTTAACCGTGAATAAGGATAATTTTGAATATTTTATTTTTTTTAATATAATAAAATTACATATTTAACTTTGGAGTTAAAAAAACTAAGTCATTAACGATGTTTTTTCATATCATTTTTTTAATTATTGGTGTTGTCAAAGATAATAATATAATTTACTCTTTAATTATTATTTTTAAAATTAAAAAAATTATTAGTATACGAGAAACATTATATATATTTTGGGTAATGTGTATAGCATCTTCTGGTGGTTGAAAATATATTTTTATTGTTTTATTTTATTATTCATTATATTCTCTTCCTTGATATATATTATATATCATTTAAAAAATGATCAATGTATTGCTAGTGATTTTTTCTTTTTCTTCTTCTTTATTTCTCTTTCCTATTGTTAAAAAACTTAAAAAGGCCTTCATTCTTGTTGATGTTTCATAACTTATCTTTTTAGTTTTGATTTTTTTATTTTTGTCCTTTTCTCTTTTTAAAATTTTTTTATTTATTTTCAATTCAATCCTTTAATTTAATTTGTATATATAATTATTCAATATAATCCTTTTCATTTTGATTTCTTAGTTTTTTTCATTGGATTGTTTGTCAAAGTTTTTATAATTTTTTATTTTATACTTCACATCAAGTTTATGAATTTTTTTTCAATAATAACAATATTAATTTTAGTTTGGTCATTTTTTTATGATTTCTTATTTGTTCCCCTTGTTTGCTTATCAAAGTTTTTATAGTTTTTAATTTTATCTTTCAAATTAAGTTTATGGTTTTTGTTATTTCAACATTAAAAACAACAAAAATAATGATGGTGATGATAATGATAGTAATAATTATAATGATAGTAATTATAATAATAATAACAATATTACTATTAATATTACTAATAGTGGTAATAATGTTAATAATAATGGTAATAGTAATAATTTATTATGATTGTAATAATGGTAATGATAATGGTGATGGCAACGGTAAAAATAATAATAGTATATATGGTAATAGTAATAAAAAAAATAGTGATAATAATAGTAGTTTTTTATGATAATAATGGTGACAATAATATTAATAATTATGATGATAATATTAATAATTGTGGTGATAGTAATAATTATAATGATAGTAATTATAATAATAATAACAATATTACTATTAATATTACTAATAGTGGTAATAATGTTAATAATAATGGTAATAGTAATAATTTATTATGATTGTAATAATGGTAATGATAATGGTGATGGCAACGGTAAAAATAATAATAGTATATATGGTAATAGTAATAAAAAAAAATAGTGATAATAATAGTAGTTTTTTATGATAATAATGGTGACAATAATATTAATAATTATGATGATAATATTAATAATTATGATAGTAATAATAATAATAGTAATAGTAATAGTAATAGTAATAGTAATAGTAATAGTAATAGCGGTAACTATTTATTTGACCTACATTTCGTCATGGGTTGGATTATTGTTTTTGAAAAGAAATACAAGCTTTTCAAATGTGTTTTTTTATCTAATTATAAATCAAAAGGCATGTGCATACATTTAATTAAATATATTGAGAACCATTTTTTCTAATAAATGCAAAAAAAGAAAAGTGTTAATGTGTTTATTCAACTCAACTCGCTACCAGTTAAATATTTTTTTTCTAACACAAAAGAATTAATATGTAGATGTTATTAGCATATTTTTTAACATTGAGTAAAAAAGATAATTCTATTCAACTCATCTCGCTGCCGGTCAAATAATTTTTTCTGATACAAAAGAATTAATGTATAGATATTATTAATGTATTTTTTAACATTGGGTAAAAAATATAATTATTAATAGAAAAAAAATTGATGTTTATATATAATAAAATATAGTAAAGATCATATATGTTAAAAAATCTCAAGCTAATTTTTAACGCAACAGAAAAATAAAACAATATTACAATTGCTATAGTGAAACACTATTTTCTTAATATTTGTATAATAATTAAAAAAATATAAAATAAACTACAAAATAAACTACAAAATAATAAAGATAAGAACAAAAAAAATGATATAAATAGGTCAAGCATAGAGTGATAAATATTCAAAGTGTAAAAAATAAAAAAATAATATTTTTTTCCAAAAAATGTGTAAAGGAAAAAAATAAAAAATAAAATATTAAAAAAATCAAGATAGGGAAAAAAGGGTGATAAATAGACCAAGTGTAAAATAATAAAAATGTCAAGTATAAAAAGAAAAGAAAATATGAGAAAATTTTGTTTGCTAAAGAAAAACTAAAAATTATAATTTTGCCACCACTATAGTAAAAAATTAACAAAATTTACAATTATATCATTTTTACATAAAAACATCATTTCCTTTAATGTATATACAATAATATTCGTAAAAGTAATAATTTATTAAGATAATAATAATAGTTATGATATTAATAATCGTGACGATGATAGTAACAATAGTAATAATTGTGATAACAACAACTACAATAATAATTATAATAGTAATAATGTTAATAATAATAATAATAATAATAATAGAGCTAATTATAATAATGATAATGATAATGATGTTAATAACAATAATAATAACAATAGAGATAAAAACAATAATAACAATAATATTAACAATGATAATGATAACAATGATAATAATAGTATAGTGATCATACTAATAATAGTAGTAGTAGTGATAATAATAATAATAATGATGATGATGATGATGATGATGATAATTCATCATTAAACGTAAGATTTGTTGAAGATTAAGTTTTATTTTTTTTCATGTATATTATTTCCAGTCTAATAACTCTAGATTACAGGTTTTAAAAGTAGATGTGGCCATTCAACATAAAATTTGTTGGGGGTTGAGTTTCATTGTTTTCCATGTATGGTATTTTCAGATTGATAATCAAGGGTTACAATTTTAAAAGTTATTGTGGCTCGACATCCTTTTTTATTTCTTGCTTTATTGTTTTTTTCTTGATTTCATTGTAAAAACATTAGTTTTTTAAAATAAAAATCAGTCATCCAAGTTTCTTTTAAACCTATTAAATAAACCAATTCATATTGAGTTAACTCTTTTATAGTTTTGTTGGAAACTTGTGCCAGACAATAATTTAAGTCAAGGGATTTCAAGATTTATCTTCTTGCTCGGGTTTTATAGCATTACAAAAAAATCCTCATGTTCTTAGTGATCTTTATTACATTTTAAAAAAAATGGTTTGGCTTACAAGAGAGCAAGGGTCAATGAATTGGTTATGTATCCAAACCTTAACCCAATATATCAAATGCTACTCATAAATATTACCGATATTTTATAAGTTATAAATTTGATTTTTTTTTTATTTGAAATCAAGCTAAATGTTTTTTTAATGGATATTAAAGATATTCACAGGATGAGCTTCTATTGCTAATTTTTATGAATCCACATTTAAAGGTGGGCTTACAACATTAATTATATATGCCATAACACCCTTAAAATTAAGTCTAATTTTTGTACACTATACTACCATCAAATTCTGGTTACCTTCTTCTTTCCTCCAACAAAGACACGTGCATTTTTTTTATGTTAAAAAACTCTAATAAAAAATTCACAAACAAGAACTTTAAAGTTGAAACATTCATAAATAAAATAAAAATAAATAATCAATCCACAAATTATTAAATATAAAAAAAATAGTTTAGGGTATAAAAGTTGAATTGAGTTAATTAGGTTTCAAAAATTTTGACTAGTTATCAACCCATGATATTTAATTATTATGTTTTTTAATCCATTATCATTTATAATATTTATATTATCTAATTTTAACAAATCAATTCAGATAAAATAATCTAAATATTACAAATATGCCATATTTTTTTAACATCGATGATAGAGTGGTGAATGAGGTTGGATTTTAGAGCATACTTTATTTTTTACCTATTTACTAGATTAATAAATGGATGGATGCTCTATCTTATCTCATTATAGTAATTGAAAATTACTAAATCGAAAAGGCATTCCTCAAATAAATCCCCCAGCCCTATTTTAAAATTTTTAATTATACATTTTAATTAGTTTAACACTTCAATTAAAAATGGAGAGTCTATTAGAACAATCTATTTATTTATTAGCATATGGGTTTTGTGTTCTATCCAGAAACTCTTCATATAAACCCCAACTTTTTTTATCTAGAAAGAATAAAACTATACTGAATTTCATTTTACGCTAATTTGATAATTATTATTTTTATTAAAAGTTTTTTTTATCAATTATCTCTTAACATTTCATCTATTTATCAATAATATCTTTTTTTATGAATAAAGATAAAATAAAATTAATTAACTCAAAAAGTTATTTAAAAAAATATTTGGTAAACTCATATAATTCATAAGAATAAAATGGAACTAACCTAGAATCATTCCTACTTCTTTCATATACAATAATGGTCTTTAATTCTAAGCTGGTTGTTGTGCTATAAAACAATAGTTTATCATTAGTTTTTTTGGGTAAAAACTTAGTACTTCCTTGAAACCTATAAAAGAGAGATAAGGGAAAATCTTATATTCATCCTCCAACCATTAATAGTTTTTTTTTTAATGTCTCCACACTTTTCTTACTTTAATCGTTATTATATTATTGGCTTATATTATACTGTGAGCCAGATTAAAATTATTTTTGAATGTGAAAAAAATACCAAAATGTTGCGAAAGTGTTTTTTAATAGTATTTTTACTTAAAGAAAGGTGACAATATTATGAAGGTATTTTTTTAGTATCATAATTTTTTTACTTAAAGAATAGAAAA